AAAAAAAAAAGAATTCATTTGCAGAGTTCCATATGAACTAAGCCTCCATTGAATTCTATCTAACAAACCTAGAGGGTGAACACATTTGTCCTCAGGCATTGTACATTAGAAAGTGGATTACTTCCCTTCCTCCAACAAGGCCAGCGCTCTTATCTGGACCAGTGTACATGTTCTGGTCTAGCAGGATTTGTAAGGGGCTTGCCTGGATGTGTGTGTGAGGGAAATTTGGGCAGTGGGGTCCCATATTCATGAATCATGTCATTACTGCCTTGGTGGAAGTCCCTGAACCAATCTTCTAAGCTCTTCTGTCTAGCATATGTGTCCCAATTGTGCTCCTACGTAGTTTTACCTACAACTAAGATTTATTGATTTGCTTCCAATCATGCTTCTGCTACGGTTTCCTCTGTCATCTCATGTCATATTTAGCCAACAGTTCTCTGTAAACCTTTGGGCATCATAATGGCCTGGTGCTAATGGTCTCCCACATCTGGGAGTTCTGGCTTTGTCTTTGTTCTGTTTAAGACTTAATAAACATTACTTTTATTAATATTTGAGATTTGAGGTCTCTTTAGTAAACTAAAACAGTGGGAAGAGAATTGTATTCGTGTGCTGAGATAACAAAAACTAAAAATGTTCAGTAATTAGCATATTAAGCCTAATGTATTTGGGGAAATATAAAAGAAACAAATCACCTGTATAATACAACGAAATAGGAAGCACGAGATCGTACTGATGAAGATCTCTTCTACGTCGAGTCAACTGATAGTAAATTTTAATCACCTTCACAGAATGCTTTCATCGTGACATCTAGATTAATGTTTGGCCAATAACTACACACTATGGACTATCGCAGTCCTGTTTGCAGGCAGCTCAGTACCCGTACACATCTCATGGCAGCATACTGAATCACTAAATTAGGCAGCCTCATGACATAGTGGGTTCTATGCTGGGCTGCCAACTGCAAGGTCAGCAGTTTTTCACCAGCGGCTCCGAGGAAGAAAGAAGAGGTTTTCTACCCCAGTGACTATTTATAGTCTCAGAAACCTAAGAGGTAGTTCTACCCTACCCTACAGGGTCACTATGAGTCAGAATGGATTCTGGCAGTGAGTTTGGGGTTTTCAATCTCCAGATAAAGAAAACAAACATTTTTACATACATTGAAGTGACAATGTAAGTTGCATCTGTGTTCATGATGAAAATACAATCTGTAGGATTAGGTTGTACCTTGGGCCAATCTCTTTGGATATCAATAAGGGCCCTTCCAAAAGTTTGTGGGAAAGATTTATTCCATTTTACACAAACTGTTTGGAGCGAGCAAACATCTGAATGATGTACTGTCAACAGGATAACAAAGTTGAGCAAATAGCATGACATTTTGAGCGGGAGTCTCTGTGTCGAGAACCTCCTAGATGCAGAAGACTGACGCCAAGACATATGGAGACATCCCAGGACTGCTGGGCTTATAGATGTTGAAGAGACACAAGGATTTCCCCTAGCGCTGACAGAGAGAGAAAGCGTCTCCTTTATCTGGCACCCTGACTTAGGACTTAGACTTAAAACTTCTTAAACTGAGAAAGAATTAATTTTCACTTGTTGGAGTAAACTACTTGAGGTAGTTCTACTTTAAATAGCACTAAATAATAACTACATAACTAACACCAGGAGGAAAGAATATAAAACCATGTGCTATATACCAATGTATTAATAACAGAAGAACTACTTAAAACAATTACTGTTCCCATTTCTGCAACTGGTCATGGCGTTATAATTGGATTTATAACTACTTTCTTGAAATGCTTAAGTCCACTCTCTTTGCCCTCAGCAAGCACCTAATCTGTTGGTTCTTGACCTTCGCTGAGGAGTTCAAAACATTAATGCCTGAAGGTTTACCACTATTATTAGCCCTTCCTAAATTTGGCTGTTCTTTTCCATTGGCTTTAATCACAAAGCCTAGAATTACTAAGAGATAGTCTATTGGATCTCTTAGATTCCAGACGTGCATTGTGTAATTACAGTCCAATTGTCTCTCCTTAATTAGAATCAGTCATGATGGTTAATCAGATCTTAATTAAAGCTGTCAGATTCTGTATATTGTTCCAGAGAATTAAGATTCCAAAGAGTTATTTGGGCCAGTAGGTCAAAAATCCAGATTTTGTATGAACTCCTGAGCTTGCAGCTGGCATACTAAAGAAGTAGTTGGACACCAGTCCTGAATCTGTGGCCAGCAGGGCAGAAGGTTGGGGTATACTGTGGAATCCCCAGGTCCATAGCTAGCATCTATCTATTTGGCAGTCAAAGGATGATACCCCTTCTCATTGTGACTTCCTACCCAACTCTAGCTGTTTACAATTGACAGAGTGCACTGCTTGGGTGGTAGAGCCGTGGGTGGACAAAGAGGAAAGTAAGGATCCAACTAAATTCACATTTGGATGACTGGATTCCTGCTGATCTTTACCATGTAATTGGTGACAGATAGGGTTGCCTCTTATTTTATGCAAAAGTCTATCCCAGTTAACTCTTCTTCAGAACTCCTTGTCACCAAATTTCCAGTGATGCTTCTTTCCAGTTCTAGGTCATCAGCAAAACCACTGGTCAAAATCCATGAATAGGTAGCAAGCATACGTCTTACCATTTCTTTTTCCAAGCAAATGGGCAACCATCTACACAGCTTGCAGCTCAATCTATACAACTGTTAATTCTTCACTGCTCTGTGGGTTGTGTTGATCTGGTCCTTAGGTTCCTTTGATCACCGTCTCACAACTTTAATATTGATCACCCACACCTTTCTCTGATTTCTGCCTATAGATTAGAAAAATTGTGTACTTCTTTTTGAGGGCAGCACATCTCTTCACAGGTCAGAGTTTGCACCTCATCTTTTGGGGCTTGTTGTGTTTTGGATATAGTTGTGGAACTAGAACAAAGAAGGTTGGGAGGTACCCTGAGGAGAATAAGGAGTATCTCTCAGTACAACTAAGTTAAAGAAGGTCATTATAAGTTGCTCAGGGTTCATCTTTTTAGATGTGGTGGAAGGAATGGAAAAATAAACTTCTAGTAGAAATGAAGATTCAACATATTTTAGAGGTTCCAGAAACTATTTGCAAACTTTCTAGCTTATTTAGATACTTATTGCTCACACTCAGTGGATTAAGTTCCTTATGTGTTGAGATAGTCAAACTTTATTGTGCCAACCTGGCTGATAAACACATGTGGGATTAATTGAAGGGTGGAGAGTAAATGGCTTTGTGAGCCTCGTCTTTCTAGTTGTCTGGTCTCTTGCTTTCTGATGGTCAGACCAGGGTGCAGCTGCCTCAGCCAGTTCCCTGCTTCAGCTGGCAAAGCTCACATCCTGCAAGACATCCCTGAGGAGAAGCCACATGGACCTAACCCAATGCAGCCCTGGGGGCTGGAGCAGCCATGTGGTAACCCCTGCCAGTGCTGAGATGCTTACACCTCACTGACTCTGCTTTCCTCCTTCAGTCGGCATCATTGTGTGTGTTTTGTGAGATGGAGGAGGACTTCGTGGATTGGTGTCAGACAGATGGGCTAATGTTGGACTCGTGGGCTTGGGTGGCACTGGGTTGGGATGTTTTCTTAATGTGCATTTAACCTTTATATAAAACTCTCTCTTATACATATGAATTTCTGTGGATTTGTTTCTCTAATGTGCCCAGACTAACACATGTGTTTTGTTATATACCCCAGGCATTCAGAGTGGATTTTAAATAAACATTTACAATTGAATTAATATGTGTATATAAACTAAGAGATGAAGATAACACATACATGTTTTATCTACACAGTATTCCCATAAATCTATTCTGGCAAAAAGAAGCATTGGATGAGTGGTTTTTGTTTTATGTGTTAAATGGAGATTTATCCCACAATAAATTTAACAGTGATTGAAATGTTAGTGATTATGAGTCACACTTAGCAGATACACACATCATTTGTTTCAGACTGAAAACTAGGCATCGCTGCTTGTCAGCATTGGACATTACCAAGCAGTAAGAAACATATTAGACAACAAGCAATCCTTTGCTTTTGTTTTGTTTGCTTACAGAAAGAAAAAGTTATGCTTTATTTTATAGAAATATTAGAGAAAATAGGATTATATGTATTCCATACTTTATATAACTTTTGACAGTCACTAGAAACATCACAAATCGGTTTAGATAAAAATTTAGAGTGGTCTAAAATATTGATGTTAGACTTATGGTAGTTAAAATGGATCTAATATATGACAATTTTTAGAAAATTAGATAATTTTAATAACATTGTTATTATTGTTGTCAACATTTGTTTTGTAAATATGTTGATATCAGCTTCAATTTCCTAACCCATTTAGTTGAGAGACAGACTAAATATTAACTGTAAATGCTTGATACAACTAGAAAGGACATCATATGAGGGTAATTAAATTTTCAATCAGCATAGGACAATATTTTCTCATTTTACAATGATGATACTTACAGTTTACTAGACAGTGTTGGAAGGTCATGAATAATTTCTTCATATGGTTCCTCTTGTGCTAATGTAGGAACAGATGACGGCTCCTGCATTTTTTCTTCCCAGGCAATTTCAGCTTTCAGTAGCATTTCCTCAATGAACTCGGATGCGGCAATGTCTACAAGAAATAATAAGAAAAGGAGAAAAGGTGGAATGGGAAATCTCAGAAAGCTATTTACTTTGAATAAATCTGAGCTGCTCAAAATGCTAACATTTATCAAGGCATGAAGCAAAATAAAAACAATTATAAGTTTATTGTAGGGATAAAATTGAATTACTATCATTTTAAAAGGCTGCTGGTTTACATCACTGATACATTTAATTATAAATGAAGTGAAAAATTATAAAAGTACTATAGGAGTTATAGGATTGTGATAAGTAAAATAAAAAAATAATTGAGAAGCTAAGCCTGAAAGAATTCAATGTCATTTTATTCTCGCATTAAACTCTTCTTGTACCTTAATGAAAATAAACCAAAATGATGGAAAAAATAATTTTACCTACAAAACACTGGTTTATATAAAACATGTAGTAGATATTCTATAATGATGCTACTAACTGGGTAAACAATTAATATTGGTTATGTTATTACAGCAGAGCGTCAGACCTACCTCTCTCTCCGTCTTTATTTCTGTCTGTCTGTCTGTCTCTCTCTCTATATATGTATATTTATAATATATATATTCTCTAGATGTTTCTGAATATATAAATGTGTATAATATATAACCATACATTATATATTCAGAAACATCCAGAGAAATGTGTGTTTTTATTATCTAAAATATTATGGATAATTATATTATAATAACATATATACATATCAGTAATCAGCTCCTTACACTTCAACACTAATATCTGGAACTGAAGCCTAGCTCTTAACTATTGCATCATCAGGGTTGTCCACGTACACGCTGATAAGTTCTTCACTTATTGGAAACTTACGACGCTTTGCCTTTCCATGTAACAGAATATTTTCATTTATTTAACAAATATCTATTGAGAAGACTAGTAGGCACACAGGGTTTTGTAGTTAGCTGAGATAAAGCAACAACAATAAACAAATAGATTTGTTAAGATAATCAGGTAAATTCCAGATTTATTCTTTTTACATTATTTTGTTACTTTTATCAGATTGCTCTTTTACTATTTAAGAATTTAATACTATCTCCAGAAAAATATAATATCTGGGGGGAAATTTGCTGAAAAATAAATAGGTAGACAACCAATAAGACAGGAATTTATAAAATAAGTATATAAATAGCAATTTATAATAAAATGTATGTAAATATGTAAAGTAATGAAACACTCCAAAACCAATCTCATTGTCATATAGTCAATTCTAACTCACAGTGACCCTATAAGATTGGGTACAGCTGCCCCCTGTGAGTTTCCAAGACTGTTACTCTTTATGGGAGTAGAAAGTGCCAGCGACTGGCAGCTTCAAACTGCTGACTTTCTAATTAGCAGTCCAGCTCAAAGCCACTACACCACCAGGATAATAATGGTTAATTAAAAACTTTAAAAATACATGTATTAAACATAAGAAACATTAAATCAATATTTTAAAAGTGATGTTAGGTTAAAAATATTCTCTACATATTTCACAAAATAGGAATATCCAATGCTGAAAATCTATTATTGTTTTAAATATCCTAATGAATAAATATGATTTTCATATAAGAAAATAATAACAGGAAAAAATAATTTTAAGGTAAGTGGCCTTCGAAATCAGTGATGCCCTGGAATTTAAAGCAAGTAAAACAAAATGTAATGAAATATTAGAATATCCTATAAACTTAATTTCTCTCTATTACCTACCTAACCTAGTTGTGGTAGTTATATAATTGTCAATTTAAGGATTAAGCATGTATGGACCTGTCAACCAGGTCATAGCCAATGAGGCTTCTGTGTGGGCACAGCCTTTCCCTAAGGATTCTGGAAATTCGGATAATTCTTCCTTAGAGGTGGGAGACTCTCTGCTCACCATCTGGGAGATATAGCAGGTGACAAGACACATGGACCCATCCTCATGCAGCCCTGGGTGCTAGAGAAGCCATTCAGAGACCCCTGCCAGCGCTGAGATTTTTCCAATGCCACTGGATCCAAAGGCTTTCTACCCACTAGCCTGTGATCTTCTACAATCGGTGTCATTGTATGTGTTTCATGAGTCTGAAGAGGACTTCATAGGTTGGTATCGAACATATGGGCTAATTTCGGACTTATAGACTTGATCTGGACTGGGCTGGGATGTTTTCTCAATGTTCAGTTGCTCTTGTATATAAATCTCTTTCTTATACACATATGTGTGTCTATGATTTGTTCCTCTAGTCTAGCCAGACTAACACACTAGTGAACAGTATGTGCTTGAGCTGATGTAGTTTATATACAGCTGCATGGTATGGTCTGACCTTTGTGTAGCCACAATAATTACTAATGAAAAACTTCAACATGATGGGAAGGAACTCGTATTTCTTCAATGGTCCCAGGACACGCAAACCTACCTGAAGGCTTCTCTTCATTGCAGTTCAGGAGGTTTGGGTTTGCCTGATGTAGTAAAAGAAGCTTCACCAAGTTTGTCTGAAACATTAAAGATAAATGGAATAGAAAATACCGTGTAAGACACTGAAATTAATCAGTAAATAATACCCGTTACTGCCCTCGAGGGACAGTTAAAGCATAGTAAAATGAAAGTGTATTAGTTTTACATGAACTATTTATTATCACATCACAGTTCCTTTTAAAAAGACAGATAATTCTTAAGATTTTGTAAAGTGCTTAAGCAGCTCATGGATTCAATACAAAAATTACTTATTAAATGGATGAGACATCACTGATGATTTGAAAAGTTTCACTACATCTTTCAGATTTTTCTTTAGAGCATTTTATTGAACAAATAATGTCTTAAAAATGTGTTCTGTTTCTTTTAGTGAAAAAATTCACTAAGATCTCACTTGTGGGCAAACAATAGAGCTCTATGGTTAATCCACAATAGAACCACGGTTGGCATGAACTGGGATGACGGTGGAATCTGGACACTCAACCTCAAGTTATAAGAATGGAGCTATTTGATAAGACATTAATACATGTAAAATGTTTCCATAAAATATAGCATATTCATACAAAGCTCCATAATCTATAGGTATCAAACAAGGAACAATAGTCAACAAAACCCTGTGAAATGTGAGGGTGGGTGGAAAGGGGGAACTGATAACAAGGATCTACATATAACCTCCTCCCTGGGGGATGGACAACAGAAAAATGGGTGAAGGGAGATGCCGGACAGTGAAAGATATGACAAAATAATAATTTATAAATGATCAAGGGTTCATGAGGGAGGGGGGGAGCGGAAAGGGGGTGATGAGGAGCTGATGACAAGGGCTTAAGTGGAGAGCACATGTTTTGAGAATGATGAGGGCAATGAATGTACAAATGTGCTTTGCACAACTGATGTATGTATGGATTGTGATAAGAGTTGTATGAGCCCCCAATAAAATGATTAAAGAAAAAAAATCTAAAACTTATTGTGGTGATTGTTGTACAACTCTTTTTAATCTATTTAAACTGTTTAATTGTATGGTATGTGGATGATGTCAATAAAATTGTTAAAATTAAAGGAAAAAATATCATTGATGGTATCTTTGTTCTCCCCCCAAATTATTTCCAGAGCCAATGACTTTTTTAATACACTGCCTTTATACATTAACACTTGGAAATATCCCTAAACATTTTTTCCCAGTTTTTATTATGCATTGGGTGAAGTTTTACAGAGCAGATCAGATTTCCTTTCCGCAGTTCATAGCCATTTTGCTTCAGGTCATGGGTTGTAAGAGCCACAATGTAACATAACAATCCTACTGGGGCCAGAGTGTTTCTTGTGGCGTGTCTTCCTTCCCTCATAACACTTCTGAACTTTGTTCTTGGGTGAATGCTGCCCTTTTTACTTCAAACGTTTGATTTTTCTAAGATATGGGTACCTCGCTAGTTACTATTCCCTTGCAGATCTGTCTAGTTTTTCGCTGAAAATTTAGCCAAATGAATGAGTTCGTTTCCAAATGTAAAAAGTGATGAAATGGCCTGTATGCCTGATTGTTTAAACTAATTTTAAGAATTTGGTTTACTTTTTTCTCCCACTCTCTGCAGAACTTTCTAATGTTGATCCTTTTCAAAACTGTGGCAGCTCAGCTCTGCTACCACTATCTCCTTCTTGTCTCAGGGTGGAGGAGACTGCTGAATGTGGTCTCTTAGTACCTTGGACTAATTGACTAAAAATCTGCCCTTTAGTTTCTCTAGTGAGGGCAATTAGAGCAGTGGAACCATCACGTTGGTGGTATTGTGGTTACGTGCTGTCAAGTCGGGTTCCTACTCGTAGTACAACAGAACGAAACACTACCATTGCCAGGTCCCGTGCCATCCTCAAAACTTTATGTGTGAGTCCATTATTGCAACCACGGTGCGAATCCATTTTGTCTAGGGTCTCCCTCTTTTTTGCCGTCCTTTTACTTTGCCAAGCATGATGTCCTTTTCCAGGGGGAATGACACCACAGTGTACATACTTTCCAGTGTCCTTTCATGACTCGATAGTCCATTGTCTGAGAGCCACCAGCTAATGGATTTGGCCAAGGATCATTCATGTTTATGGCTGCATACATTGCATTGAAAAATAAGAAAACCATCACAATTTATCTAGCTTCCCATCGGTAGACATTCAACCTTTTTATAACCATTATTTATTCACTATTATAAGTAATGCTTCTAGAAATGGTTTTATTTATAGCTTTTGGTGTGCAGACACAGGAGTTTCTTCAGGACATAAAAGTGGAATTGATGGGGCATAGGCTTGGGCATCTCACTCCTCCTTCCAGTAAGAGTTCTTATTGATCCAGACTTTGTTTAATAATCTTATCATCATATATGTAATATTTTCAAATTCCAATGTGGAAATTAAAAACATTGACATTGAAGATGTACTGAATTGAAAACAGAGATATATATCCTACATTAGTACAATCACCTCCATAAGAGTGTGCCACC